TCAGAACTAGCGAGGATAGTAGTATCATCTGCATATCTCAAGTTGCAAATCTTCTTCCCGCCAATGGTGATGCCACCATTCCAGTCCTCAGTAGCTTTCCGCATTATCCATTCACCATAGATGTTAAATAAAATTGGGCTTAGTATGCAGCCTTGTCTCACGCCCTTTGTGACCCTGAAACTGTCAGTTAGTTCCCCATTTATTCTAACTCTGGCATAATTGTTATTGTACAGGCTTTTAATTAGCAGTATCAGATGATTAGGGACTCCCATTTCAGACAAAACCTGCCACATTTTACTCCAGTTGACCAAATCGAAAGCTTTACTATAATCTATGAAGCACAAATATGTTGTGATGTTGAATTCTCTGGATTTTTCTACAATCTGCCGTCTTAATATTTCTACATATACTTAGATAAAGAAGTCCAAATTGCTAGGTACAACCAAACTGCTGAACTACAAAGACAAATCACTTTAGCATCTGCTGCATATGGTGCTCTATAAGACATCTTCAAGAGCAACATGCCAAATTATTTGAAATAGACGACGTTTGACCAATGTATGCTTCTAGTCATTCCTTTTAACTCTAAAATACTTTCTTTCATCCAGAAACCAACCAAACCCAAAAAATTTCAAAGACGAATGGAACGCTGGCTACTTGGAGCGACTCTCAGAGACTAAGTTTAAAACGAAGATATAAGAAGAAGGACAGACGTCACAGATGTTATACAACGCATTGCATGGCTGAAGGGGAACTATGTGGGTCTTGTGGCCAGAAGTCTTGTGCCCAGAAGAAATGACCGGCGGTGAACCCAAAAAATTTCAGTGTAGAGACCGCGAGCTGACCCAATTAGCAAAGGAACATCACCTAAGTACACGATGGACTGACGACGTTAAAAGAATCGCTGGGAATTGGCTGCAGGAAGTTAAAAATCGACAGAACTGGAAGAAATAAGGAGAGGCCTAGGTTTGGACGCAGAAGTTTGGATGATGATGATGATGATAATGTCATATTGAATACTAAATCATATTTTATTATGTAATGCAAATATATTGCTTATTTTCGGTAGAAAATTAATTGTCTTTTCTACAACCTTTTTTTTTATTAAATAAACAATAATAATTAAATTATTCTTACTAATATATCTCCCTAATTAAAAAAAAAACAAATAAACAAATGTAGGGGAAACGATGAGGAAGCTGGTTCGATGATTTAAAAACAAATATTTGAAAAATTACAGTCTCAGCTTCCTACATTTGGTAGATAAAAAATAGATACAACTCTCGAAGTACCAACGACCAGTAGGTCGCAAAATTGCGGATTATTAGTAGTTTAGTAAATAGTAAAATTAAAAAGAGAGTAACTAAAATAAGATTTCCGGTAGAAATTCCGGTAGAAATCCGCTTTTGAATGATAATAAAAAACATAAATGTAAAAATAAAATGTTCTTAAAATACACAACTGTTTATATTAATTGTTCTTAAAACTAAATAAATGCAATTTATATAGCAAAAAAGTTAAGTTGTATATCCGGCAACCGTGTAATTTGTCAGACTGGCATTTATGAAATATTGGCACAAAAACTGTCGACTTTCTTCTGTATTAAAGAATAATTTCAGGCACTTGCATATTATATGCACTAACACTAAATTTAATTTAAGTTAACTATTAAATAAAATAAAACTAACTTGAAACTTGCTTTTATTTGGGACGCTAAAAAGGGAGTTTGACTTTCGTGTTTTGAAGGTGGCATTTCTTGCTGTTTCGTAGGTTTTTAATTTAGTGAGATACATTACTGAGAATAATTACTGTTTATTTATTAAACAAACTATTGTAGAAAAGACAATTTTCTACATACTGTGAGCTGGGAAAATTTATAATATATACAAATAGCCATTGACCGAAACGACCGTTAGAAAAGTTTTAATCAGAAATTGCAGCGCGAATGATTGATTGTCAAGTTTTGTTGGGGTAGTTGCCATTTGGGTCAATGCTGCAGACGGTGCAAAAAATCCACAGACTATTTGCTTCAAAACTCCTGATAATTGCTTATTACAGCTTAATAATAAAACATGATAAATTCATACACCTATCTTATTTACAAAATCTGCTAATTTTCGATTCAAAAGAACAGTGTTATATTACATTACTTCTATATGTGGACGATATACATACGTATACAAAATATACAACATAAATCGTTGTTTATTAATTTTGATTGTATAGATCAGTGGTGCTCAAACTTGAACTGCTGGCGATCTACCTCAATATTTTTGGACTACTAACTTACGATCGACTCTGAGAGACTGCAAGTGTGTGTGATGCAGTGTTGTCGTACATACACGATACACCCTACCTACCTAGGTAGGGCGTACCGTAGCATATATAGATATTAGCTTTCTGCACAATATAGGTACATTATTTTAGTCAAGGTTTGGGTTAGGTTTAGTTAGGTTCTTCTCTACAATATCAATGAAAAAACTTGCGAGTTTATTTGTTGTTACAAAACAAAAGAGTTACATATGGTGTTAAACTTAACTAAGGAGTGGCTTTGGATGTTGAAGCGTGGCACTGCATGTCCTCAGCATACTTTTCATAAGATGGTACGTAACCACTGAGTGCTAATCGCAAGCATGATGTCATATGATCGTCAGTTAGTCGATTGCGATATTTTGACTTAATTATCTTCATTTCAGAAAATGCAGACTCGCACAAGTAAGTTGACCCAAAAAATACCGTCAGTTGAAGGGCGATTTACCTTTCATTCGGATATTTATAAATATCCGAATATAAAACGCCGGATATAAAACGCCGGATATAAAACGCCGGAAATTTGTATCAGATACTGTAGCTTTGAGATGTATATCTGATATAATCTGCACCAACTCATTTTCAACAGAACATGAGTTCATATTAAACTGACTTGCTATTTCAGTAGCTAATTCCTCAATGTTTTTACATGAAAAAGATAACTCATAAATGATGCTATATTTTCCAATTTACTGCAATCATAAAAACGCATTTCGAATTGTCGCATACGTATCATAATTCAACTGAGTAATCCTTGCTTTCAAAGACGGAAAATGTTTTAGATCCTTTCTTTTCAGTTGATCTATCATAAGTTGGAATTTACTTTTGAATACGTTTACTGCGCTAATTATCTCAATAATAGTTTTTCCTTTACCTTGAAGCTCCAAGTTAACGGTGTTTAAGTGCATTGTGATGTCAGTCAAAAATGCCAAATCATTTAGCCATTTTTCGTTTTTCAAAATCTGAGTGTCATCACCTCTTTCGTCTGTTATTTCGGGCAATAATTCTTGAAACCTTTCTAGGAATTTTCCGCGACTCAACCACCTGACGTCCGTGTGAAGAACTAAATCAGTGTGTTCAGCTGACTCCCTATCTTCCAACTGCAACTGAAAGAGCCGCCGTTGCAAGCTACGTGCACGGATGGAATTCACAATTTTTGTTGCAATGCCCATAATTTCCTTCGTGTTTAAAACGTTTGAACACAAAACTTGTTGATGTATAATGCAATGGAATGAAAAAAATGAAGGGAATTCTTCATTAGCTCGACACAATGCTACAAAACCGTTTTTGTTTCCAGTCATTGCTGGTGCTCCATCGGTTGTAATGCACATTAATTTATATATTGGTAGCTCGTAGTTTTTTACAAAATTTAAGAAAACGTCATATATATCTTCGCCACGGGTCTTCCCCTTCAGAGGAATGATTTTCAAAAATTCTTCCTTAGCCAACATGTAATTGAATACCATCCGAATAAAAATACACAGCTGGGCAGTGTCTGTCATATCGATGGATTCGTCGAACTGTAAAGAAAAAGTATGTACATTCCATGATATCATGTTTTAGTTTATCTGCGATGTCTTGACTCATGACTTCAATACGCCTTGTGACAGTCGGATGAGATAACTGAAGTTCTCTAATAGCAGACATGATTTCTGTTTTATTTTTAAAATCTCCAAATAAAGTCTCACCCGCTTCAATAAATGCGTCCTTCACCACCGATCCATCTACAAATGGTTTCTTGTGTTTCGCCAAAATATGAGATATTTTAAATGACGCGATCGTAGCAGCTTTTGATTGTTTGGCTGGTCTTGTGAACATGGATTGTTCTTTTTTCAAACAAGATATCAAATCACTTACTTTTCGTTTTCTTAATTCACTCTGTGGCGGAAAATCCTTTTTATAGTTTTTATGAACCGTTTTATGATGCCTCTCTAAGTTACCACGCTTAGGTATTGCAACTGACGCACGACAAATAACACAAATGCACTTATCCTTCACCATAGAAAAGAAAAATTCTTTCTCCCAATCCTTATTAAAATGATACGTTTTAAATTTCTTCACTGCACTCATTTTCCACTATTTAATAATAAACTTTGTATCGACGTAGGATCGCTATCAAGTTACAATTCAGAATAACTCCAATTCCTGCAGGCGCAACATTTATATCGGCGTGAACGAAAATCTCGAATGTTTCCGTCAAACGCGCCGCCCGAAACTAGACTGTACTGTACTGTCTCTCGTCTAGAAACAACACGGCTTTTCTTTGACAAGTGCCGCGCGTTCCTTTGATAAAGCCACCTTTTGCCGCAAGCAGTGTTATTTTATTACGTAATACATTTTTGTAGTTAATAGAATATCATCCCAAATTTGATTATTAATTATAATAAATATTGAATTAATAAAATAATTAGTTAATATATGTAAATATAAAATATGCTGTGTGGACAGTATTTTGTTGTCCCCACTTCTTTGAATTGCAATCATGCTTAGTCAAGCATTCTATGTATTTGTATAGTTCAGTATTAATAAAAACGTTAAACTCTGCTGACAGTAGTTTAGTTACCTACCTACCTATTAAAATTTTTTTTCTTCTCGAGATCTACCCAAAAAGCACTCGCGATCGACCGTTTGAGCACCCCTGGTATAGATATATACTTTTTTAAACCTAATAATATATTTTTTGTACTTACCCAAACGTACACCATATTTCAAAACTCATAACATTAGCCCAAGAAAATTGAGCAATGGCAAAAAAGATAAGGAAGAAGGCTAAAACAGAAAAAATAATAAAATAGTTAAAATATTCAGGTGGTTGAAAGGCAAGAAAGGTTTATTATTTATTGTTATTTATGGGATCTATTCCTGAATATCAGAAGAATTTTGTTCTGTACATATAAAGTATATAATTTAATAATATTTTCTTTAATACACATAAATATAATTCACATTAGTTGACGAGTAATGTGACAATGAATTTTTTCTGTTATCTGGATTAATATTAATAAATATAAGTTTACTACTTAGCACTTAGTTTTGATGTATTCTTTCAATTCTATTGAAGCCTATGCATATCATAAAAGTGGTGGTTACTCTATTATTCCTATCTTATAACAGAGCAGAGCCTCGTGACTGACTCTATCACGTTTTTTCAAGATTAGTTTATTCCATATAAGCGTTTGTTTCTTTATCGCTATATTAAATAATAAATATATCACTTTTTATTTACTACGAGAGACTTAAGATGATTTAATTACAATACGCTTCGACTGTCAAAAAATCAAGTACTGCCAAAGGTCCTAGATTAAAACGCTTACTATAGCCGACGCGACGGTTGTATATAACCTTTTCTTTGTACAAGGATCGTCAAAAAATACGCCAACCAAAACAGGCGTTAAAATTTTGAGATTGGTCTCCGATGAATGCGGTGGTCAAAATATAAATTGCAATATAGTTGCCACATGCGCTAGATGGTTTTTGGATGCCCCACAAAATTTACATTCTATTGAACCTATATACTCAATCACAGGTTACTCATTTCTTTTACTACTCATTACTTTTATTACTCATTTTTTAGTTGCTAGTTGGAAAGAAGAAGACTATAGGGTGTTAAAAGGCACTGCCTCTTGGCACTTGTAAGTTTTCAATTATTAAACATATTATTTTAACCAAGACTAAAAATGGGTTAAACGTTTTGGTACGCGGAGAGCCACACTATCGAAGCGATATTGGAAAACCAAAAACTGTTTGTAAGGCTGGAATGAATAATCCTGATATTATTGAATTGTGGGCTATTAGAGTCAACCCCTTAAAACTTCGGGACGTTGATAAACTCCTAAAAAACATTTTGGAGGACAGTCTTGAGTGATATGCTAGATAACATTCTGAAGAAAATGAAAGAGACATTGAATAGGAAATCTGATGCTTGTAATTAAATTTCAGATTTAATTGTTTAAAACTTTTTGTTCCATAAAAATTTGTTTTTAGATTTTTTTAGTAAAAAATTAGTTTTAAGGAAGATGTGTATTTTTGCATTCATATACTGTTTTTTATGTTGCAAAATCGGCGCTCTCCAAGTGTTTGAAGCAAAACCAGAAATCTCCAAAGTTAAATTGTTAATCACTTGAATTTTAATGAAATAATTAGGTTAATTTTGTGAATTACTAAAGTACATACAATAAAAGTAAAAGCAATGTACAAATAAATATAAATAACAAAAAATAAAATTTTAATAAAACGCTAAAATTTTATTCTTCTTCTTCTTCTTCTTCTACTTTTTGTAGATCTTTCGATCTGTTTAATTCTGAAGCTGCTTCTGGTTAATTTCTTGGGAGGTAGATTGCCAACTATCCCTCCATCTTTTAGGTGGTCTTCCGGGGGGTCTTGAACCGGGCGGATTGTTTTCTAGGGCAATTTTTGGGAGTCTGTTCTCATCCATTTGTCTTACATGGTTGTACCACATCCTCTTGCGCTGCCTTCCCCATCTTACAATATCTTGAATTTTGCACTGCTCTCTAATGTTTGTATTTCTCACTCTGTCTCTTCTTGTTTTCCTTATTATTGTTCTTAGGGTTTTCATTTCATTATATCATCGCGCACTTCTATGCCATATGTCATGATCGGTCGTATGCAAGTCTTATAGATTCTAATTTTACTATCTGTGCGCATATACGGATTTGACCAGACTATCTCCCGCAGACATCCTGACAGTGCAGATGCTTTGTTGATCTGACTCCTCAGGTCCTTTACTGGGTCGTGGGTGCTTGATATATCTATGCCCAGATATCTGAATTGCATCACCTGTTCTATGGGGTTGTCCTCAACCACTAACTTACATCTGAGCGGATCTTTTGCTATTGTCATACATTTAGTTTTGTTGGTAGAGATGTTCATATTTAGTAGTCGGCTTGTTTGAAAGAACTAAAAGAGCTGCCTTTGGAAATCATCTTCTGATTCGGCAATAATTGCTGCATCGTCTGCGTAACACACCATACCAATTCTTTTGTTGCCCATTCTATATCCGAGATATAGATTATATAATTTAGATATATAATATAATTTTATTAATAAATTATATTTCCTGAAAAATTTGTCATAGTGTAGATTGCTGGATTTGCTTCTAGACCCTCATTTTTCCACTATCCGATAATGAAAATTGCATCTGTTAATCTGCCTTGCATATGTACAGTGGGTGATCAAATTATTATGATCTTCAAAAAACTTTATATTTTACTGTTTAATAAAGAATAAAACTACATATGAGTGTCTAATAATGTGAATATAATATAAAAATAGATCATAAACACGTTCTTTTACAAAATTTTAAAATATTTTTTTCTTTGACCTTAAAATAACATTTTTTTTTTAATATTTTGTGTGACCGCCTTTAGCTTCGATGACAGCTTTGATCCTCCTTGGCATGCTTTGAATGTTTCTCAGGCAGTTTTCTTTTATTTTATCGTTTCTGTGCTAGGTGGCAATGAGTCTCTCAATTAACTGCTGCTTATTTGTGACAATTTCCTTGGCAACCCCCTCTTCATAAGCTCCCATAGATTTTCGATCGGATTGAGGTCTGGGGAATTACCTGGCCACTTCAGTACTTTAATTTTCTTTTTTTCCAGGCACGATGTTACTCTTTTTGCCTTATGGCACGGTGCTGAATCGTGCATAAAGGTAAATTCTTCCGATTCGCCAAACCAGTCTTTGATTTGTGGCATGAGTTTTTTTTCCAGAACTTCAATATACTGATGTTGATTCATCATTCCATTTACAATGTACAGCCTCCCTGTGCCCTTACTGCTGATCACAGACCATACCATAATCTTGAGAGGATGCTTTTCTCGCTCCACTATGCAATCCTTATGATATTTTTCACCCACTCGCCTTCGGACGAAGGCCGACTTATCCATGAGTATCTCCACTGAAGACTCATCGGAGAAACAAACCTGTGAATAAAAAAAACTATAAGATATTTTTTTTAGGATAAAAACAGTGGTTATAGTGATTTAAACTTTAGTAGTGACGTAATTTACCTTATTCCAATCCTCAATTGTCCAACTTTGGTGTTCTTTGGCCCATTCCAGTCTCTTTTTCATCATTACGATGGTCAACTTTGGTTTTTTGGCAGGGCGACATGATTTGAAACCTTGCTCAGTAAGCCTTCTGCGGACTGTCATGTCAGAAACTGGCATACCAGCTTCACGAATAAGTCCCGTGAGGATTCTTCTTGGCTTCTTTCTATTGTTTACGAATATATCCCTCATTTTTCTTTCGTCTCTGGGTGTAGTGACACGCTTTCGACCACATTTTTGGGCACGCTGGTGAATCAGGGGTTTGTTGGTTTCAATTTTTTTCTTGATATCGCTCACTGTTGCTTGCGCTACTTGGCATTGTTGAGCTATCTGACGTTGGGAAAGCTTTGTATTCAATAAAAGTGTCTTTATTTCCACCATTTTAGACACAGGGACGTCTTTAGCCTTACCCATTATGATTTTCTTCTCAAAAATCGAAATGTTTTGAAAATGTCTTTAAAATTAAAACTGATATTCTTTTTTCACTCACAATCACCACTAATAAATTAATAACACATACTACAAAGATAAAACGATACTAATCTTTCAAAAACAACACAAAAACATACAAATTCAGTTGTAAACTCCAAGCGTAAATTCACCACAATGTGTATGTTGTCACGTAATTTGACACAAATGACAGTTCTAGAGCGGTAAACGTCAAAAAAGTAAGGTTATCAGTGACAAAATATATTGGCATACTTTAATCGTATATCAGCATATAATTTTATTATAAAATTTCTGAACAAATATGAAAAACTTAAATTTTTGTGACTGATCATAATAATTTGATCACCCACTGTATATTATACATACCTACGATAAACTATAATTATTGTGGGCGCTGTATTTTCATTAAGAGTTTATTTAACCCCAAAAGGCATTACTTATTCATTTCTTATATTTATATATATAAATTTATTACAACATTAATATTAATAAAAAAGGCTAATGGATATTTCTCTTTAATTATAAAGTGAATTTGGTATTCCAAATTACGAAATTTTTGCCAAGAATATTTTAAATAATACAAAAACTGAAATGATAATACAACATAAAACAAAAAATGTATTATTTACATATTTACATCTCGACAACTATAGCCATTGATACCAAAAGAATGATTATATGTCTTTTATATAAAGAAAATATTAAGGCGAATGATTTTGTACTTTTTCTGACTCAAAAAAGTGTTCATTTATTTATATGCATTAAAATACCTAGATAAAAACAGCAGGACAATTTTAACTGACAGATATTTGTTTTTGGGAAATTATAACATTCACACTTTTTCGTTTTCTTACATTGTGTGTTCGATGGTTGACTAGAATAATGTTATTAATATTACTATAATATTAATTTTAAAGCTGGTAGATTAAACGAGGAAGAGTGTCTATCACGGAGAAGCATTGATCCAATAGCCGTCCCAGCGAAACCTATAAATTTTTAAAAATTTTTTAAAGGTTCCTGGTCAACTCAGCCTAAATAAGATTAGTACCATAGGTAAAACCAAGAGTAATGGTTAATGGATAAAGTATTGCTCTGACCCTGTTACTTTGTTTAAATGACATAGTCACGTCTATTCTTCTTTGGCTTTGTAGGATTTTGCTTGAATTTTTATAAATGTTAACCTCCTCACAACCTCTTAGAGTGTCATTTAGATATGAAAATTTATATTTGAATGATATGAATTGCCTTTTG